CTCTCTCTTGCACACTGCCTCTCTCTCTTGCACACTGCCTCTCTCTCTTGCACACTGCCTCTCTCTCTTGCACACTGCCCTCTCTCTTGCACACTGCCCTCTCTCTTGCACACTGCCTCTCTCTCTTGCACACTGCCTCTCTCTCTTGCACACTGCCTCTCTCTCTTGCACACTGCCTCTCTCTCTTGCACACTGCCTCTCTCTCTTGCACACTGCCTCTCTCTCTTGCACACTGCCTCTCTCTCTTGCACACTGCCTCTCTCTCTTGCACACTGCCTCTCTCTCTTGCACACTGCTCTCTCTCTTGCACACTGCCTCTCTCTCTTGCACACTGCCTCTCTCTCTTGCACACTGCCTCTCTCTCTTGCACACTGCCTCTCTCTCTTGCACACTGCCTCTCTCTCTTGCACACTGCCTCTCTCTCTTGCACACTGCCTCTCTCTCTTGCACACTGCCTCTCTCTCTTGCACACTGCCTCTCTCTCTTGCACACTGCCTCTCTCTCTTGCACACTGCCTCTCTCTCTTGCACACTGCCCTCTCTCTTGCACACTGCCCTCTCTCTTGCACACTGCCTCTCTCTCTTGCACACTGCCTCTCTCTCTTGCACACTGCCTCTCTCTCTTGCACACTGCCTCTCTCTCTTGCACACTGCCTCTCTCTCTTGCACACTGCCTCTCTCTCTTGCACACTGCCTCTCTCTCTTGCACACTGCCCTCTCTCTTGCTTGCACACTGCCCTCTCTCTTGCACACTGCCTCTCTCTCTTGCACACTGCCTCTCTCTCTTGCACACTGCCTCTATCTCTTGCACACTGCCTCTCTCTCTTGCACACTGCCTCTCTCTCTTGCACACTGCCTCTCTCTCTTGCACACTGCCCTCTCTCTTGCACACTGCCTCTCTCTTGCACACTGCCCTCTCTCTTGCACACTGCCCTCTCTCTTGCACACTGCCTCTCTCTCTTGCACACTGCCCTCTCTCTTGCACACTGCCTCTCTCTCTTGCACACTGCCTCTCTCTCTGCACACTGCCCCTCTCTTGCACACTGCCTCTCTCCTCTTGCACAACTGCCTCTCTCTCTTGCACACTGCCTCTCTCTCTTGCACACTGCCTCTCTCTCTTGCACACTGCCTCTCTCTCTTGCACACTGCCTCTCTCTCTTGCACACTGCCTTCTCTCTCTTGCACCACTGCCTCTCTCTTGCACACTGCCCTCTCTCTTGCACACTGCCTCTCTCTCTTGCAACACTGCCTCTCTCTTTGCACACTGCCTCTCTCTCTTGCACACTGCCTCTCTCTCTTGCACACTGCCTCTCTCTCTTGCACACTGCCTCTCTCTCTTGCACACTGCCTCTCTCTCTTGCACACTGCCCTCTCTCTTGCACACTGCCTCTCTCTCTTGCACACTGCCTCTCTCTCTTGCACACTGCCTCTCTCTCTTGCACACTGCCTCTCTCTCTTGCACACTGCCTCTCTCTCTTGCACACTGCCTCTCTCTCTTGCACACTGCCTCTCTCTCTTGCACACTGCCTCTCTCTCTTGCACACTGCCTCTCTCTCTTGCACACTGCCTCTCTCTCTTGCACACTGCCCTCTCTCTTGCACACTGCCTCTCTCTCTTGCACACTGCCTCTCTCTCTTGCACACTGCCTCTCTCTCTTGCACACTGCCTCTCTCTCTTGCACACTGCCTCTCTCTCTTGCACACTGCCTCTCTCTCTTGCACACTGCCTCTCTCTCTTGCACACTGCCTCTCTCTCTTGCACACTGCCTCTCTCTCTTGCACACTGCCTCTCTCTCTTGCACACTGCCTCTCTCTCTTGCACACTGCCTCTCTGCCCTGCCTCTCTCTTGCACACTGCCTCTCTCTCTTGCACACTGCCTCTCTCTCTTGCACACTGCCTCTCTCTCTTGCACACTGCCTCTCTCTCTTGCACACTGCCTCTCTCTCTTGCACACTGCCCTCTCTCTTTGCACACTGCCTCTCTCTCTTGCACACTGCCTCTCTCTCTTGCACACTGCCCTCTCTCTCTTGCACACTGCCTCTCTCTCTGCACACTGCCTCTCTCTCTTGCACACTGCCTCTCTCTCTTGCACACTGCCTCTCTCTCTTGCACACTGCCTCTCTCTCTTGCACACTGCCTCTCTCTCTTGCACACTGCCTCTCTCTCTTGCACACTGCCTCTCTCTCTTGCACACTGCCTCTCTCTCTTGCACACTGCCTCTCTCTCTTGCACACTGCCTCTCTCTCTTGCACACTGCCTCTCTCTCTTGACTGCTCTCTCTTGCACACTGCCTCTCTCTCTTGCACACTGCCTCTCTCTCTTGCACACTGCCTCTCTCTCTGCACACTGCCTCTCTCTCTTGCACACTGCCTCTCTCTCTTGCACACTGCCTCTCTCTCTTGCACACTGCCTCTCTCTCTTGCACACTGCCTCTCTCTCTTGCACAACTGCCTCTCTCTCTGCACACTGCCTCTCTCTCTTGCCACACTGCCTCTCTCTCTTGCACACTGCCTCTCTCTCTTGCACACTGCCTCTCTCTCTTGCACACTGCCTCTCTCTCTTGCACACTGCCTCTCTCTCTTGCACACTGCCCTCTCTCTTGCACACTGCCTCTCTCTCTTGCACACTGCCTCTCTCTCTTGCACACTGCCTCTCTCTTGCACACTGCCTCTCTCTCTTGCACACCTGCCTCTCTCTCTTGCACACTGCCTCTCTCTCTTGCACACTGCCTCTCTCTCTTGCACCACTGCCTCTCTCTCTCTGCCACCACTGCCCTCTCTCTCTCTTGCACACTGCCTCTCTCTCTTGCACACTGCCTCTCTCTCTTGCACACTGCCTCTCTCTCTTGCACACTGCCTCTCTCTCTTGCACACTGCCTCTCTCTCTTGCACACTGCCTCTCTCTCTTGCACACTGCCTCTCTCTCTTGCACACTGCCTCTCTCTCTTGCACACTGCCTCTCTCTCTTGCACACTGCCCTCTCTCTTGCACACTGCCTCTCTCTCTTGCACACTGCCTCTCTCTCTTGCACACTGCCTCTCTCTCTTGCACACTGCCTCTCTCTCTTGCACACTGCCTCTCTCTCTTGCACACTGCCTCTCTCTCTTGCACACTGCCTCTCTCTCTTGCACACTGCCTCTCTCTCTTGCACACTGCCTCTCTCTCTTGCACACTGCCTCTCTCTCTTGCACACTGCCTCTCTCTCTTGCACACTGCCTCTCTCTCTTGCACACTGCCTCTCTCTCTTGCACACTGCCTCTCTCTCTTGCACACTGCCTCTCTCTCTTGCACACTGCCTCTCTCTCTTGCACACTGCCTCTCTCTCTGCCACACTGCCTCTCTCTCTTGCACCACTGCCTCTCTCTCTTGCACACTGCCTCTCTCTCTTGCACACTGCCTCTCTCTCTCTTGCACACTGCCTCTCTCTCTTGCACACTGCCTCTCTCTCTTGCACACTGCCTCTCTCTCTTGCACACTGCCGTCTCTCTCTTGCACACTGCCTCTCTCTCTTGCACACTGCCTCTCTCTCTGCACACTGCCTCTCTCTCTGCACACTGCCTCTCTCTCTTGCACCACTGCCTCTCTCTCTTGCACACTGCCTCTCTCTCTTGCACACTGCCTCTCTCTCTTGCACACTGCCTCTCTCTCTTGCACACTGCCTCTCTCTCTTGCACACTGCCTCTCTCTCTTGCACACTGCCTCTCTCTCTTGCACCACTGCCTCTCTCTCTTGCACACTGCCTCTCTCTCTTGCACACTGCCTCTCTCTCTTGCACACTGCCTCTCTCTCTTGCACACTGCCTCTCTCTCTTGCACACTGCCTCTCTCTCTTGCACACTGCCTCTCTCTCTTGCACACTGCCTCTCTCTTCTTGCACACTGCCTCTCTCTCTTGCCACACTGCCTCTCTCTCTCTTCCTTGCACACTGCCTCTCTCTCTGCACACTGCCTCTCTCTCTTGCACACTGCCTCTCTCTCTTGCACACTGCCTCTCTCTCTTGCACACTGCCTCTCTCTCTTGCACACTGCCTCTCTCTCTTGCACACTGCCTCTCTCTCTTGCACACTGCCTCTCTCTCTTGCACACTGCCTCTCTCTCTTGCACACTGCCTCTCTCTCTTGCACACTGCCTCTCTCTCTTGCACACTGCCTCTCTCTCTTGCACACTGCCTCTCTCTCTTGCACACTGCCTCTCTCTCTTGCACACTGCCTCTCTCTCTTGCACACTGCCTCTCTCTCTTGCACACTGCCTCTCTCTCTTGCACACTGCCTCTCTCTCTTGCACACTGCCTCTCTCTCTTGCACCCTGCCTCTCTCTCTTGCACACTGCCTCTCTCTCTTGCACACTGCCTCTCTCTCTTGCACACTGCCTCTCTCTCTTGCACACTGCCCTCTCTCTTGCACACTGCCCTCTCTCTTGCACACTGCCCTCTCTCTTGCACACTGCCCTCTCTCTTGCACACTGCCCTCTCTCTTGCACACTGCCCTCTCTCTTGCACACTGCCCTCTCTCTTGCACACTGCCCTCTCTCTTGCACACTGCCTCTCTCTCTTGCACACTGCCTCTCTCCTCTTGCACACTGCCTCTCTCTCTTGCACACTGCCTCTCTCTCTTGCACACTGCCTCTCTCTCTTGCACACTGCCTCTCTCTCTTGCACACTGCCTCTCTCTCTTGCACACTGCCTCTCTCTCTTGCACACTGCCTCTCTCTCTTGCACACTGCCTCTCTCTCTTGCACACTGCCTCTCTCTCTTGCACACTGCCTCTCTCTCTTGCACACTGCCTCTCTCTCTTGCACACTGCCTCTCTCTCTTGCACACTGCCTCTCTCTCTTGCACACTGCCTCTCTCTCTTGCACACTGCCTCTCTCTCTTGCACACTGCCTCTCTCTCTTGCACACTGCCTCTCTCTCTTGCACACTGCCTCTCTCTCTTGCACACTGCCTCTCTCTCTTGCACACTGCCTCTCTCTCTTGCACACTGCCTCTCTCTCTGTTCCCTTTATCATGCCATGTCCTTGTTCCCTTTTCTTCTCTGGGTTTCTCTGTGGATGTGTGCGTCTGGCTGGGCGTGCATGTGCGTTTTTTTTTTTGGGCGTGTGTGTGCGTGTGTGCGTGCGTGCGTTTGTGTGTGTGTGCGCGTGCATTGGTGTGTGTGTGCATGCGTGTGTGTGTGTGTGTGTGTGTGTATGTGTGTTTGTGTGTGTGTGTTTGTGTCTGGGCGTGTGCATGTGTGTGCGTGCATGTGGTGCAATGAGCAGCGGCATCGCCATCACCCCTGCCAGAGCCCACCGTCACCTCCCTGGCTTCCCTGGCCTCTCTCTTCGACCGACACATGGAGGAGCGCGAGAGAGCAGGGGACCCGCCTGTCATCGCCGCGCTCTCCTCGCCCTCCTCCTGCTCCACCTCGCCCTCTCCCTCACCCTCGCCCCACCCCGTGCCCGCTGCACTGCCGTTCTCCCCCCACCCAGAAGCATCTGCTTCTGCAGCAACAGTGCCGGCAGCAGCAGCAGCAGTGACAGCAGCAGTAACAGCAGGAGTGGCAGTAGAGGAATCACCAGCAGTTTTGGTGCCATCAACAACAGCAATACCAGAAGCAGCTGCCGTGTCTGTGCCGTCCTCTGCTCCTGTCGCTGCTCCTTCCACTGCTCCCTCCTCTGCTCTTTCCTTCTCTCCCTTGCCTGTTGTTACATCATCGACTGACCCGCCTAACCAACAGCCATCTCTCATCTCTGCCATCTCACAACCCATTACCACTCCCGTTCCTCCCTCCATTCCCTCTCTACCTGTCCGCCCCTCCTCGCCTCCCCGCCCTGCCGTTCCCTCCTCTGCCTCCTCTCCCGCCCCATCCCTCCGCCCCTCCCCTTTTCCCTCTTCCCCTTCCTCCAAGCCCCCATCCCTGCCCCGCCCTTTCCCTCCCTCCAGCCCCCGTTCCCGCCCCTCTTCCCCTTCCCTCCCCCGCCCCTCTTCCCCCTCCTTTCCTCACCCCCCACACTCCCCCTCTCCCTCCTCCCGCCCCTCCAACCTTCGCACTCTATCTCGCCGGCGCCCCCCTTCCCCCCCAATGCCCTCCCCCTCTTCCCGCCCCCGTGCCCTCCGCCCCCTCACAGTGGTGGCAGCTGCCTCAGAAGGCACCTCCTACTCCCCCCGCGCCTTCCCCATCCTCTCCCCCTCGGCATCCCCTCGCACCCGCTCCGCATTCTCCCCCTCCTCCTCCCCTCCCTGCTCTCCCTCACTCTCCTCCGCTCCTCCTCTCGCCCAGACCTTCTCACTCCCTTCGTTTCTCTCCGACCGCTACCTACCCTCCTCCTCCTCCACCTCCTCCTCCACCTCCTCCTCCTCACCCACTGTCACAGGCACACCTGCTGATGCTGCCTCCTCTGCTGCGGATTCAGAGCACCCTTTCACCTCCCAGCCACCTCTGCTCGTGCTGGACTCTCCACCATCTTCACACCCTGCAGATGATTCTGCGACTGTACCAGGTGAAGCTTCAGGTGAATCTTCAGGTGGCTTGACGTCGACTGCACGTCGGCCTATACTCCCACCTCTCCCTGTGCTGGAGCCTCAGCAGCCAGCGTCAAAGGCTCTCCCTCCTCCTCTGCCCGCGCCTCTGCCGCTGCCTATCTCCCCCCCTTCGCCTGCTCAGCCGGACAAGCAAGCTGCTCTCGCTAGCAGTGATAGCATGGCAAGCAGCAGCAGTAGCAGCGGTGAAGGCAGTAGCAGCGGCAGGATTGGGACGACAGAATCACCCTTCATATTGTTCTCTCCTAACCAAACGCCTGGGGATGAATCATCTGAAGGTGAACCGTCATCGACAGCAGAAACAAAAACCAGCAGCAATAGTGATGTTGAACCCATTGACCTTGCTGGCCTTGTCGACTCCATTGACCTTGCTGGCCCGGTTGACTCTGTTGACCCTTCTGCCAACCTGCTGTTGGCTGCTGTGCCCGCCTGTGAGCCTGCAAGCACAGGAGAGGGGAGAGGTGGTAAGGGGGGAGAGGGAGCACTGGCTGCTGCAGCTGCTGCTGACGGCTCGATGGCAGGGGTAGGGGCAGCGATGGGCTGTGCAACAGACACAGGAGAAGGAGCTGACACAGGGGAAGATGAATCACTGTCGGCTGCCCCTCTTGCACCTGCTGCCCCTCTTCCATCTGCCTCACCTGCTGCACCTGCTGCATCTGCCGCACCTGCTGCCCCTGCTGTTGCGGGTGCCGGCACGGTGGCAGTGGGAGCAGCAGCGATGGTGTGTGCTGCTGCATTGGCTGGTGTAGCCAGCAGCATGCCGGATGGGATGACAGCTGTTGCAGACAGTAGCAGCAGCGGGGTGGAGCAAGTGGATGAGGCGCTGGTGGTGAATGCAGGGAGCAGGCGGGAAGATGTGGAGGGTAGGGAGGAAGCGAAGGGTAGGGAGGAAAAGGATGGTAGGGAGGAAAAGGATGGCAGAGAGGACGAGAAGACTGGGGCAGGCCAACCTGAGTGGGCAGAGGGGCGAGTGGACGGGAGTGAGAGGAGTGGGGAGGCCGATGAGAGAGGGAGCAGCATGCCTGCCATGGTGACGATTCCCGAGGCTGCAGCCACGGTGACAGCAGCGGCACTGACACCACTTGCGGCCTCCTTAGAGACTCCTTCCCTCTTTGAGGAGCCTGGCGTGGCAGCACCCACACGGGCCTCACCCTCAGCAACATTGCTCAGGCCAAGCATTGCCACTGCAGCTGGTGCCGCTGCAGAGAGCAGTGCAGCGGGTGATGGCAGCGGCATGGGGATAGGCAGTGAATCCGGTGACAGTGAGGAGGCTGAGCTTACTTTCAGCACCACCATCGCCCATGCCAGCAGTGGCAGTAGCAGCAGTAGCAGCAGTAGTGCAAGTGAGGGTGCAAGTGTTGCAAGCAGCAGCACACCAACTGTGTCAGCCAATTCAACTCCCCACATGCCTCTCTATCGCCCCAAGGCCCCTCCTCCCCTCCCTCTCTCCCCGCGCCCCCTATCTCCCCTCCGCTCCAAGCAGTATCTTGCACTCTTCTCCTCCGCTCCAATGTCTCCAGACCTAAAAAAGCAGCAGCAGCAGCAGGCGGCAAGGAGGGTAGACTCTCCTCCTCTCTCGCCCCAGCAACTGTCTGCTCTCTCGTCTTCCCCTCCTCTCTCGCCGCAGCAACGGTCTGCTCTCTCGCCCTCCCCTCCTCTCTCCCCCCAGCAACCTCTTGGCATGCCTCGCTCCCTCTCCCCCCACCGTCACCGCTTTGCACTCTCTGCCTCCTCTGCTCTTGCTGCCACTGCCGCTGCTGCCACCCCTGCTGCTGCCATAGGCACCACCACTTGTGATGATAACGTCGCTGCCACCCCTCCTGCAACGGGCACAGGCAACGGCAGCACTGGTGCGAGCTTTAGTACACCGGGGCTTGCAGCTGGTGATGCAGCTGCAGCTCCTGCTACTTCTGCTGCTCCCGCTGCAGCTCGTGCTGCCCTTCTGGAGGCTGCTTCAATCGGTTCTACTGGTGCCGTGGGTGCTGGTGCGGATGGGGAAGAAGGGGCTATAAGGAGGAGTGCAGGCGAGGCAGGAGAGGAATGGGGAGCGAAGGCTGGAGAGAGCATGATATATGAAAGAGGGGAAGATGTCAGAGGTGGGGCAGCAGATGGCGGCGTTGAGTGCTTGGCAGAGGCTACATCGGAGGATGGAGAAGAGGAAATGGACGGAGAGGAAGATGAAAGGGAGAAGCGCGATACAGGGGGCCAAGGGCAGGAGCAGAGAGGCTCTACAGCCTTGGTGGCGTCCCCTATTCCTGTCCACCATACACCTGGTGACTCCTCCACACATGCCACGTCGCCCACTCCAGCTGCTGCAGCAGCAGCTGGCGGCGGTGTGAAGGATGGGCGAGTGAAGGGTCTGGCGTCCATGTTCGAAGCCAAGTGTGAGTGCCGCTGGGGGAACTTTGCAATCTGCTATTCCCTGGGCTGCTCTGTGTGTATTTGCAACACTGCCGTGCCCATTGTGTTCACCCCTCCCGTTTCCACTCCCCTGTCCATTCCCCTCTCCCGTCTCCCCTCGCCCCTCGCCATTCCCCCAATCACCCCACCAGTGGCAACCAAGCGCCAGCAGCAGTCAGTGCCGCTGTCCCTCGCCGCCACCAGCATCACGCCTGCCCGTGCTGCACCTTCCCACGCCACCTCTCGCACACCTTTACCCGACACAGCATCCTCCCGGCCTACCTCCCCCTCAGAGCCTTCCCCCTCAGGGCCTTCCCCCTCAGAGCCTTCCCCCACAGAGCCTTCCCCAAAAGAGCCTTCCCCAACAGAGCCTTCCCCCACAGAGCCTTCCCCAAAAGAGCCTTCCCCAAAAGAGCCTTCCCCAACAGAGCCTTCCCCCATGCCGCCTCCCCCCACGCCGCCTCCCCCCACAGCGCCTCCCCCCACAGAGCCTTCCCCCACAGCGCCTCCCCCCACAGAGCCTTCCCCCACAGCGCCTCCCCCCACAGAGCCTTCCCCCACAGCGCCTCCCCCCACGCCGCCTCCCCCCACAGCGCCTCCCCCCACAGAGCCTTCCCCCACAGCGCCTCCCCCCACAGAGCCCCCGTTTGCAGCAGGGCGTGAGAAGCAGCAGCAGTGGGGTTGGTCCTCGCTGCTCGCCATGGCCTGGCGCCCCTCCTGGGGCTCTGCTCACCCCCCCGCTCCTGCTCCCGCTTCCGAAGCTCCTGCCTCCGAAGCTCCCGCCTCCGAAGCTCCTGCCTCCGAAGCTCCCGCCTCCGAAGCTCCCGCCTCCGAAGCTCCCGCCTCCGAAGCTCCCGCCTCCGAAGCTCCCGCCTCCGAAGCTCCCGCCTCCGAAGCTCCCGCCTCCGAAGCTCCCGCCTCCGGAGCTCTCGCCTCTGAAGCTCCTGATTACGAAGCGCCCGCCTCTGAAGCTCCCAGCTCCCAGGCTGACGTTGCGGGCAGTTATATTAATGCCATTGCTGCCCCGGCCGAAAGCCCTTCTTCCCCTGCTTCACCTGCTGCTGCTGCTGCCGCCGCCGGTGTTGCTGCTGCCGCCACTGCTGCTGGTTTTGCCGCTGCTGCGGCTGCTGCTGCCCCTACTGGTGATGCAGGTGTTGCAAGCGGTAGTGTGGATGATGTGAGGAGTGCAGGCGCAGAGGGTGAGGAGAGAGAGAGTGCAGGTGATAGTGGGGCTGCTGCTGGCAGTGCTGTGTTTCAGGGGGTGCTGCCACTGGACTCCCATGCACGCTGTGAGGGTGCGAGTGAAGCGGAGAGTGAGCGTGAGAGTGACGGTGAGGGGGAGGCTGTGAGTGAGGGTGCGAGTGAGGTTGCAAGTGAGGGTGTGAGTGAGGATGAGCGGGAGGGTGATGAAGAGGTTGGGAGTGAGGATGGGGGAGTTGAGAGAAGATATGAGAGTGAAAGAGAGGGAAAATTTGTGGGTGTGGGTGAGGGAGCTGAGAGTAAATACGAGGATGAAGAAAACAGGGAGGCTGTGAGTGAGGGTGAGGGGGTTGAGAGTAAATATGAGAGTGAAGAAAACGGGGAGGTTGTGAGTGAGGGTGAGGGGATTGAGAGTAAATACGAGAGTGAAGAAAACGGGGAGGTTGTGAGTGAGGGTGAGGGGGCTGAGAGTAAATATGAGAGTGAAGAAAACAGGGAGGCTGTGAGTGAGGGTGAGGGGGTTGAGAGTAAATATGAGAGTGAAGAAAACGGGGAGGTTGTGAGTGAGGGTGAGGGGATTGAGAGTAAATACGAGAGTGAAGAAAACGGGGAGGTTGTGAGTGAGGGTGAGGGGGTTGAGAGTAAATATGAGAGTGAAGAAAACAGGGAGGCTGTGAGTGAGGGTGAGGGGGTTGAGAGTAAATATGAGAGTGAAGAAAACGGGGAGGTTGTGAGTGAGGGTGAGGGGATTGAGAGTAAATACGAGAGTGAGGAAAACGGGGAGGCTGTGAGTGAGGGTGAGGGGGTTGAGAGTAAATATGAGAGTGAAGAAAACGGGGAGGAGGTTGTGAGTGAGGGTGAGGGGGTTGAGAGTAAATATGAGAGTGAAGAAAACGGGGAGGAGGTTGTGAGTGAGGGTGAAGAGGTTGAGAGTAAATACGAGAGTGAAGAAAACGGGGAGGTTGTGAGTGAGGGTGAGGGGGTTGAGAGTAAATATGAGAGTGAGGAAAACGGGGAGGTTGTGAGTGAGGGTGAGGGGGTTGAGAGTAAATATGAGAGCGAGGAGGGTGAGTTTGTGAGTGAGGGTGAGGGGGCTGCAAGTAAGTATGAGAGTGAAGGGGAGAGAGACGTTGGGAGTGAGTATGAGAGTGGAAGAGAGACTGGGGGCGAGGGTGAGAGTGAGAGTGGGGGAGAGATGGCTTCTGCAGTGCACACAGAGCGTGAAGCTGAATGGAGAGAGCATGAGCCGGAGCAGATCAGCAAACCCAGCAGTACACGAGAAGACGAGAGGCACGCAGAGGGTGCAACAATGGCAGATGAGGCAGACGCAGACACAGAGACAGAGGCCGAGGGAGATGGAGAGGGAGAGGGAGAGGGAGGGGGGGAGGGAGAGGGAGAGGGAGAGGGAGAGGGAGAGACAGAGGATGAGGGAGAGGCAAATGCAGAGGCAGAGACAGAAAGTGAGATTGAGGCAGATGGAGAAGGAGAGGCAGGGGCAAAGGCAGGGAAAGAGACAGAGGAAGAGGCAGAGACTGAGGCAGTTAGAGAGGAGGTTTCGGAGAATCAGTCAGAAAGGGGGATGGCTGAGGAGGCAGGGAGGCGGGCAGGAGAGGAGGCGAGGGAAGGGAGGCAGGAGGAAGGTGAGGCGAGGCAGGGATGGCGTGAAGGATACGATAATTTAACCACTGAAGCTGCTATGGTACCCTTGCAGGAAGATTCGAAGAAAATGCTGGAGGTTTCAGGGGCTGTGCTGAGTGGGAGTGATGATGAGGAAGAAGAGAAGAGGAATGAAGGGGAGGGGAGGGGAGGAGGAGGGGGAGTGGGGGTAATGGTGCAAGGGGAAGCAAGCAGAGATGAGGAGGAGGGGAGTGCAAAGGTGGAGGGGATGGCGGTGGGGAGTGGAGAGGGTGAGGATGCTGTGGAGGAGGAAGAGGAGGCGGACGAAGGGAGGGAGGATGAAGAAGGGAGAGAGGGTGAGGAAGGGAGGGAGGATGGAGGTGAAGTAGGGGAGTGCGTGTCTGAGGCAGGACGCTCCGGTGACGTGGAAGATGACGTGGAAGATGACGTGGAGGATGACGTGGAAGATGACGTGGAGGATGACGTGGAGGATGACGTGGAGGATGACATGATAGTTGATTTGGAAGGGGAGGAGCTGGACGTGGGTCAGCTGCAGCGGGATATTGAGGCAGTTCTTAAGGAGGCCTTCAAACTGAAAGGGAAAGGGTCGGACGGGGTGTGGCGCGTGACTGTGGTGCGAGATGGCAGTAAGGAGGGGAGCGTGGTGGAGGTGGATGCTGGGGAGGTGGGTGTGGGGGAGGTGGATTTGGGGGCGGATGCTGATGACGAGGGGGAGGATGATTCGGAGGAGGAGGAAGAGGACGATGATAGCTATGTTGGGGAAGAGGATGAGGACGAGGAGGAGGAGGACGACGAAGAAGATGAGGAGGAAGAGGAGGAAGAGGAAACGGATGAAGAGGAAGAGGAGGAGAGCGAGAAGGAGGAGAGTGGGGAGGAGGAGGGGTGTGTGGGGGACAAGGCGAGGTCATCTGAAGCAGCTACAGTGCAGGCAGGCGCAGGGCCTGTCGTAACTGCCTTGGCTGCTCGTGCTGCAGATGCAGCAGTGGCGGCGAGAGAGAAGGAGGGCAGTGGGAGCGAGGAATTCGCGGATGCACGGGGTGCATCAGGGGAATCAGGGGGGTCAGAGGGGCGTGGCGATTTAGGAAAGGGAGAGGAAGAGGATGAGAGTGAGGAGGGGGAGGAGGCAAGGGGGCAGCAGCAGCACCTCCCCAGCCTGCACAGCCAACCGCCCTCCTTGCCTCCTCAGACATCCTCCCTCGCTGCTGTTGCTGCCACCGCTCCTGCTGCTGCTGCCGCAGGTGCCAGCGACAGTTGTGCACAAGTCACTTCCTCCCCACCTGTTGCTGCCTCCGCCTCATTCCCTGCACTTTCCTCCCCTGCTGAGCCCCCCCTGCCTCTTACTCACGATACTCTCCTCCATGCCTCCTCCAACTCACCACCCCTATCAACCGCATCACCACCACCTGCAGCAGCAGCCGTAGCAGGAACCGCAGCAGCAGCCGCAGCAGCGGTGGTAGCAGCAGCAGCAGCAGGGGTGGCAGCATGCAGTCAATTTGAGGAGGGCTCTGCCAACACAGGCGATGCTGACAGCACTGGGAGCGCTGGGAGCGGTGAAGGCATGCCAGCGACTGGCGGTGGTGAGAGAAGAGTGGGTGTTGACGGGCCTGGTGGCGCCATTGAAGGCGCCACGGATGAGCAACGCACCGAGGAGGATAGAGTCTGTGTTGACGACATGGGCGGCAGTGACAGAATGGCTGGCATGGGTGGCATGGAGGGCATGGGTGGCATGGAGGGCATGGGTGGCATGGACAGCATGGGCGGCATAGTGAACATTGAGGATGTGGTGGACGACGGTGCCTCTGACAGCTCCTCTGCATACCTCTATCACGACGCCCATATGGATCGCTTCAGCTCCGCCTCCTCCCTGCGCTCCGCTTCCTTCCGAAGCACCTCCTCTTTCCGCAGCACTGCCTCCGCTTTCGATGACGCCGCCTCCTCCTTTGATGACACAGCCAGCACCATTGCCGGCTACCAGACCCCGCCCACCTTTCCCCCCTCCCCCGCCTACTCCTTCTCCTCCGCCCCATCCCCCTCCCGCCTCTCCCTCACCTCCCGCTCCTTCTTCCCCTCCCCGTTCCCCCCGACCCTCTCCACACCACACCTCTCTCCCCCCGAGTCCCCTGCCTCTGCAGCCTCGGAAGCACTCTACTCTGCTCGTGAATACTTCACCCCGCGCGCCCAGTCCCCGTCTGCTGCCTCTCTGCGCTCTGACCAGCGCTTCTTCAGCAGCCCAGGCAGCAGTGACGGCTTTCACACACCTCTTCATACCATGCAGTCGCCTTCTCCCCGTGCCGGCTTGTACTTGCCCTCTCCCCGTGGCACTCTGCGCTCTCCTTCCCCCCGTGCTACCCTGCGCTCACCCTCTCCCCGTGCTGACCTGCGTGCAACAGCACAGCGAAGCGGCTTCCACACTCTCACTCCTCGCTCCGCTCTCCGCTCCCTCTCCCTGCAGCCCGCTCGCCCTTCCTTCGCCTCTGCCAGTGCTGCTGGCGCTCGCAGTCTAGCGGACAGTGGAGAAGAGACTGGAGGCGGATTAGGAAGAGAAGAAGCAGAGGGCAGGGATACCAGCAGGGATATTGGCCGGGATGCTGGCAGGGATGGGCAGCAGCAGCAGCAGGACGTGGGCCAGCAATTAGGGGGAGGGAGGATGGCGGCAGAGGAGGTGGAGGAGAGCGAGGATAAGTTTGTGGTGGCTGAACGGCCTGCTGCTGGTCACTCGCAGCCCGTGCAGCAGGAGCAGCGACAGGCGGAGGGGGAGAGGGAAGAGGAAGAGACAGAAGAGGAGGAGCAAAAGCAAAGCATACCGCAGGAGAGGGTTATTCCAGCAGCAGTTCCAGCCGTGGTCGCTGCTGTTGTTCCCATCCTGAGCCCTGACGCCCCATCCTGTGACCCCACAGCATCTGAACCCTCTCCCTGCAACCTCTCTGCTGCTGATGCTACTGCTCCTGACTCGGCTGCTTCTGGAGAAGACGCCAAGTGGAAGCTGCCTGGAAGGAGCCTGTTTGGTCTCTTTGCACGAGGCGCCGGTGGGAGTGCCGGCAGACGCACTGGGGGGACAGAAGATGTGGCGGAGGAAGGAGTGGAAGGTGTGGGGGTGAGGGAGACGAGCAGCGGTGATCCGAGAGGGGTGGAGCACGAGGATGAGTTTGAGAGTGCTCGGGTTGGGGTGAGGGAGGATGACGTGGTGGCAGGGGATGCGTTGGGCGGAGTGGATGGTGGGATGGCGTTGCGGAGAGCAGAGGGGGAGGAGCAGAATGAGGATGAGCCTCGGGAGGAGGAGGAGGAGGTGAAGGGAAACAGCGATGAGAGGAGACCGGAAGAGGAGGTGGAGATGGGAGAGGGGCAAGGGGAGGCAGAGGAGGAACGGGTTGAAGTGGTGGAAGGGTCAGAGAGTGCAGGTGGAGGGGTCATGCTCAAGGGGAGTGGCACTGCTCCCTCCCTGTCTGCTGCAATGGCTGCTGGTGCTGCGGCGGCTGCTGCTGCTGCTACTGCTGTTGCTGCTGTCACTCTTCCCAATCATCCCCCTGCTGCGCTCTCCCCACCTCCTTTTGCCTCATCTGATGCCCCTGTGTCTGCTTCTGTGTCCGATCCACCGCAGCAACACTCAGCAGCAGCTCTGCCTTCGCGCCAGCAAGCAGCAGCAGCGGAGAACAGGGCACAGAGGCGAGCAGCAGAGCAAGAGCAGCCCCGGCACGAGCAGCAACAACAGCATATGGCACCGCAGCAGCAACAACAGCATATGGCACCGCAGCAGCCACAACAGCATATGGCACCGCAGCAGCCACAGCAACAAGAAGTGCCCGAGGTGCAATCCTCTGCTACACGTAATCCACTACTTGCAGCACCAGCAGCAAAAGCAGCACCACCAGCAGCACCACCAGCAGCACCACCAGCAGCATTACCAGAATCACCGCCAGCAGCAGCGCCAGTAGCACCAGCGCTGGCAGTGCCAGCAGTGGACGAATTTCTTCTGAGGCGGCGTCGCAGAGACGCTCTGATGCACTTCTCCCGCTCCTCCAACACCTCCCGCGCTGCCCTCTCCTCCTCTCGCCCTCCTGCCATCCTCCCCACCTCTGCCGCTGCTGCTGGGGTCGCTCGGGCTCGGCTGCGTCCTGCTGTGTCCATCGGCAGTGCTGCTGCCCCAGCTGCAGGGGAAGCTTCTCAGCTCGCCCCAGCGACCCGTGAAGGCCTGAGGACAGGTGCAGTGGGCGCAGCAGGAAAGAGTTCTGCTGCTGGCAGAAGTGGCGGTTTGGATGGGTTGAGAGGTGCAGAGGAGTCGGTTCCTGGTATGGAAAGGATTGGGGATTGGGAAGAGGGTGGCGAGGAAGAGGAGGGGGAGGTGTTGCAGGGGCTGCGGGTGAAGAACCGGCAGGGGGAGTGGGAAGACAGTGAGGACTTTCGGCCGCAGTGCTTGCAGCAGCCACAGTGCATGCCCTCCCTGCACCTGCCCCGTGAGGGAGGGAGCACGGCAGGAGCTGCTGACGCAGGGGGGAAGCGAAAGCACGGTGGCAGACGGGAGCACGAGACGAGGCGGACTGATGAGGATGATGATGATGACTCGGTAAGAGAAAGGGAGGTGTGTGGGTGGAGTCATAAGCAGATGAGATCACGACATTCATACGTTCACATCACGTAAAGAGTACCATGCCTCATGAATGTCATGTAGGCATCCACTCTGCCTCTCTTTGTGTTCCTTCCACATGTCCCATTCACTCACGATTTGATTGTGTCACATGCCACATTGCACTGCTGGCAGGAACCGGAGGAGCAGGTGCTGAAGCACCGTGGGGCTGCCTCCTTTGCCTGCTGCTTCCGCCCAGCCGTCAGAGACTGATGGCCACGGCAAGAAGCTGAACGCCTCAGTTGGTCTTGACTTGAGATGTCCACCTTGTTCATGTAGAACAGGTTACAGGACACTGTTTTGGACACGTGGAGTGGACAGCGTGTATTATATATATGGTACAAGTGAAACCGGTTGGGCTGATGCCCCTAGCCTGTCTATTGTATTTAATTATTAAGATACTTGACCTGCATTCTTGCTTAAGTTTGCCTAGAGTGACAAGAATGTCAAGGAAATACCGTAATCCCCTGGGCACACTGGAAGTCACGCGACGAAAGCGTCAAAGGCGAGGGCGTGTGAGTATGATAGCGTGTCAGATTGCAGCGAGGATAAATGTACCGTAGTACGATTCTGGTTGTTTGTCAATAAGGTTTGTAATTTCGTTATGTAGGATAAAGAGGACTCGTAATTTCGTTATGTAAGATAAAGAGGACTTTTAATTTCGTTATGTAGTAGAGAAGTTAGCTCTGCACAAAAGAGTACGACGAAAGTTGACTTTCCAGCACATGTGCACTGCTGATTTTACCCGGCACTAGAATGCCGAGTGCCACTCGACCCCGGCCGAGGGGCGCGTGCCAGTCGCTAGTGCCAGTCGCTCTTACAGAAAGCACCAATCGCATGCGAGCGGAATGGTGTTCGTCGGTACAGCGCCAATCTCCGAGATGCACGATGGCACAAGGTGAAAGGCTTTTATCGTTGACAACCGCATGTGCAACTGGATCAGCCGTTGAACTACTATATGTCAGAAGGTCAACGCTTGAGGCGCAACGGAAGCCACCACACCGCGCTGCGTGATTCCTCCGTTGGTGGCCCCGTGTGTAACGTATTACCTAGTCTGCAGCTCCCTAGTTCCCCTAGTCGACTAACTAAGCTAAGCGCGACCTACGCTAGCTAGCAAGTGTCGAGGGAATTGTGTGCAGGGAAGCTAGAGTGGTTGGGTTGGGTAACATTTGTAACCAACCACCACAAAAGGACAAGCTGTCAGAATCCCAACCACTAGACCATTGGGATAAAAGGGCTTGTTAAGTAGCGGGTCAGTGCGCCCATAACCCCCCAGGATAACGAGCTTGTAACCCTTCCCTAGGATCAATCGGGGATCACCAGTGGACCTCTGACACCCCCCCGCACTGGGATGCCCGAAGTGCACACACTGGGATTCGAACCCGAGACCTTCGCTCTGATACCATGTCAGAATCCCAACCACTAGACCATTGGGATAAAAGGGCTTGTTAAGTAGCGGGTCAGTGCGCCCATAACCCCCCAGGACAACGAGCCTGTAACCCTTCCCTAGGATCAATCGGGGATCACCAGTGGACCTCTGACACAAGCCAGGTTAGAAAACGTTCCAACCCTCACATTGTTTGGAATTCCAACCAACCAGAATTGTGCAGCCATTTTGTTACAACCTATCTTGCAAATGTGTGCAGGTGCTCAATGTTCATTGGCTTACAATATTTCTTTGCCACCTAAGCAACCCCACCTTAGGAGCTCCTCCACCTTGTGGCCATGGAGGAGGAGAAGCTCCCCAAGGAGGTATTGGAAGGGGTCTGAGCCAAGAGCTCATTCTTCCCATTCCAACTTCCAACAACTCAATATAAAAAATGGGATTTTGACTAAGGGATTTTCTTCCCCTCACAAACTCTAGCTAGCTCTACTCTTTCAAGAGACAAGTTCTTCAACCAAGACTTTGCTTGGCTGAAACTCTACTTCTACCTCTACAAAGCCTCTACTCAAGAGCTCCGCGCCATCTACATAGTGGTGACTATCACGTGGAGTATTTCTTGTAATTTCAAGATCTTGTATTGCAATTTTATTAACTCTGTTATTTTAAGCCTACAGCCCGTTTGCTATAAGGGCAAGGCTGTTACATTGGTATCAAGAGCTGAGGCTGATCCTTACCCTTGTGTGGATTGATCTTTGGATTTTTTTTTTTATAGATTTCTTCTCTTTGAGCCAAGGGCTCTAGATAGCTTTTTAAGCATCTTGAAGAGAAGATATCAAGACTTGAAGAGTTGAAGACTACAAGTTCTTCAAGCTACAAACCTTCAAGCAATCTTAAGAGAGTGAAGCTCTCTTGCCCACCATTCCTTGGTGGATGACTCTTCTTGATCTTAATATCTTGTTGGGGTTATATTCTTGTTGAATATACCTACTCTACCACCAAGGTGATAGAAAGTTTAACGACAAGTATCTTTTGTTGAGCAATTATCTTAAGATCTTCTGTTAAGAGTTCTCCTTAAAAGAGACTCTACCTTTATCAAATATTTGGTAAAGAAGTTAAAACAGAAACTTGAGATTTCCAACATTTGATATCTAAGATCTATAAGAAGTAACCCTCTTTGACCCATCCATGGCTGCTAGTCAAGAGATGGAAGCTACTACGGAGGATGGCCCCCTTGCTGCCACTGAAGCTGCCCACACCCCTGCTGATATTGATCTCAACCTTGATGAGGCAATGGGAGATTTGGAGATAAATATCAGTGAGGAGGATGCTGCTGAAAATCTGCAAGAGGATGCTGAAAATGTGGATGATAATGCTGAAAAACAGCAAGATGCTGAAGCAGCAGCAGTGGAAGGCTCTGAGGCAGAGGAGGAATATGAGGACCCTGTTGCTGTAGAGCTTGAGAAGCTGCAATCTCAAGTCTCTAACCAGCACATCACAATTGTGAAGCAGCAATGCCCCATTGACGGGTTGCGGACCGAGTTGTCGGTGCAGCAAGCGCAAGCTTTCGATTTGAAAGCTCAAATGAGCCATGTTGCTCATGATACTCGCGACCACACCCGCATACTGGCCTCCAAATCTCGCCAGATTAATGAGCTGCAGGAGACTTGCAGGCGGCTGCAGGCTACGTGCGCGCAGCTGCAAGCTCAATACAGGGATTTGAGGCGTGCAAACGTCTACCGCCCTGCTCCTAATGGCGGACGGCCTGCAGCGTCGACGAGCACACCCGCCGCCGCTCCTGCTGCAGCTCCTGCTCCCGCTGCAGCGCCTGCCTCAGCAGCAGCGCCTGCTCCTAGGGCGTCATCGCAGTACTCTCCTGGGTTCGCGCCACCTGCCTTTGGCTCCCTCAATACCGCTTTGCCTAGGTTCATTCATGGCAAGACGGATGTGGAAACATGGCTCTCCCTTGCGGCTGATACAATGGCTCATCATCGTGTGAGCGTTGACGCATACGTTGTGGCCGCCACTGGCGTCATTGGATGAGAAGGCAAGCAAGCTAGTTTATGCTAGCAAGCGCCAAGCCGAGGCCAAGTCTGAGCCGTTTGGTTGGGAGGAGTTTTGTGCTGCGATGAGGTTGGCGTTCTTGGTGCAAACACCAGAGCTAGAGGTGCGCAACCGTTTGGAGAACACCTCATGCGGAGACAGACCGGTGCAGGAGTACGCCAACGAGTTTGAAAGCACTCTGCTGATGCTGAAGGACTCCCTTTCTGAGCGCGAGCTCATTCATATGTTCTTCAAAGGGCTGCCCGAACACATCCGGACCATGCATATGGCTAAGGGACAGCACCAGTGGAACACATATAAGGAGTGCAAGGAGGATGTGATAGTAACGGATGTGCATTTCCGTGCTTACTCCAACAGACCTCAGCAGCAGCAGCAGCAGCCTAGGACCAATGGTCCTAGTAGCAGTGGCTCTCGGCCTCAGCCTTCCAAGGGCAAAGGCCCTTGGAACAAGCGCCCTTTCCAGCACCGCGGCGAGCCTTCTGGGTCTCAGCCCAAAAGGCCTAATGGGGGAGGATCCAATGCTCCCAAGGGATCAGAGAGGTCTCGAAAACCCTGCGAAAAGTGTGGTAAATCGAACCACGAGACCTGGCAGTGCCGCTGGAGGAAGAAAACCAATGACTCTTTCAAGCACAACAAGGGTGGCAAGCCAGGAGGTGCTGGTCCTTCGGGTTCGAAGGGTTTTCAGAAACCCAACTAGGGTGTGGATACCTAGTGGGTCAAGTAGGTCGAGGGGATGAGGCTTATGTTTTGCTTGACGAGGATTTGTTAAAGCTAGAAACTCTTGCTGCGAACAAGATTTCTTGTGTGTTTGCCTCTTCTTTTAATACAAACTCTTTGTTTTTATCTCGATCGTAACCACTAAAAACAATTTCAATAGAAGCATTGAGAGATAAATTCTCTATCATTTGCTTTACGATTGAAATGTTGCTGTCAATCATGGACGTCGTGGGTCGTTGCACCCAAGCTCATCCCCTAACATCAGTTGGGTTGTTGGTCCGTCCATTGAAAGGGAAATTGTTTAAACTTTTCCACGACTGGATTATTCTCGCGACATGGGATAAAGGCCACCATGTCTGGTGGACAGAGTCTCAGCAATGGGACGTGCGCATCATAAAATCAAAATGTATTATCGCCCACCCACAACGATTGTGGCGTGTCCTATTCGCCCAAGATACCAACAAAATTTATTGTTGACAGGACGAATGAAAGGCGAGCATGCAAAAATCCTAGTCGACATTGGCGCTTCGGTATTGTTACTCGACGAAAGTTGGGCAACAACGCATGAAGTCCTCGTTGAAGGACCGTCATGTCCCATTCGTCTTGGCGATGACAGAGTCATCCCAAGCAAAGGACAGACACAGGTCGACATGGAGATAAGTGGTTACTGCGAAACCATTAGCGTCTACGTTCTACCACTCCTGGCAGGCGTAGATCTTGTGCTTGGAATGGATTGGTTAAGATCCAATGAGGTGATCCTCGATTTCCAACATGACACTGTCTCGTTCACTAAGAACGGTGAATCATTCCAATGGCAAGTCCGTGAGAATGAAAGCAGCTTGGTTAAACCAAGAACAGAGCATGCTGATGTGTGCGTCGCTCTAGCGAACGGATTTGGACAACATTTCCGCACAGCTGATACACTCTTCGTAGTGCAGCTTGAAAACGTCGATAACCCGCTACCCGAGATTGAGGACTTTCCACCTCAAATGAAGGTGTTAGCGGAGGAATTTAAGGAAGTGTTCGAATCAATTCCGGACGGTCTCCCTCC